TTTAATTAACCTACGAAGGCTTCGCTGGAGCGCACTTAAAGCTTTGTGGTCTGCGGTTGCCGTTACTGTAAGTCGTGTGCAAGCGTCGTACCAAGTTCTGGAAAGGGCTAATTGGCGCGGAAATTGCTACAAGCTTATGTCTCTGGCTCAGACCGGTCGCCGATCGTGTTTCGGTTCATTTGGAAACCAGGCTTTTGAAAACAAATGTGTGTTCACATTAAAGGGACAGTGTCCCGATTATGCGCACGCGCGAACGTCATCTGTGTTTTCTTCAAAAGACAATAGAACTGTCAAATTGACTCGACAAGATTTCCTTCCGGACCGCACCGCCGACAGAGATTTGTTGTTTATATTCTCAAGTAATATTTTAGACTTTCGAAGAAGTCTTTCGTCTTATATAAAAATTTGGCTCACGGTTCGAAGACTCATCGCGATTTCATCGCTAGCTGGGCCGCCTCGCGACCCGGAAATCTGGTTCCGCTCGCTTTAAAAACATATTTTCTAATTTGAAACTCGTGTCAGAGGTCAATCGCTCCAAGTCCAGTAAAATGGGAGTAATATCTGCCTGATTTGCTGGCGTTCTAGCCTCAAACGTTTGAAAGACATAAATAAAAATGCAATCTCAACGCTATGAATAATCACAAAGGTTAGTCAAAAATGATATTATGATTTCATGTCACTATTTTTTCAAAACATTTAGCGCCTGTTTGTTTGATTTTGTCGGCCGTAGGGAGATTCATTTAAAAGTTCACTAACGCGTCGTTGCAAAACATTCTGCTTCACGAAGCTCGCCTCCACAAGATCTCCTCAGTCACATCAACGTCTCAAAGGTTTCTTTCTTACAGTCTTTATTGTTGCTGTTTCATTTCTGCGTATTCCTTTCACAATTATCTGAGCTTGTATGGAAGCTAGCAGAAGAAATAAGCCTTCAATCGGCATCAAAGTGCTTCCAATCTTTTGGTCCTCCGGCCAACGGCAATAAAAGTAACGCCAAAAAATCCAGATTTTGCCCAAATCGAGACTTAACAGGAACAATACATCATTGATCTATAATCCTGAGAAGTTTTAGTGTCGTATTGAACCCGGCAAAGCGCGATGCAAACGGATTTTTCACGATTCTCTTACTCTCCTCGCATCTTTTGATTTCGGGACATCCTGTCCAAAAATCAAAGTTTGGTGCATGCGCAGTGACGGGATACTGTTCCTTTAATTAGGTGAATTTTAGTACCAGTCCGTCTCACCCGCCTACACATTGGAAACAAACTGTGTTTTATCTTGAACACCCAATCAACGTCATTCAAGGTAAGTATAAGTGTATTTTTGTATTTTATTAGTACCAACAACTTAACAGTTTCTAAACGGTAAATGACTACTTAGCCTGCATCGCAGACGTAATTGAACCCCGGTTAATGACGTATGCGAAGCAGCGCCGATATCTTTGTTCTGGGGCCCCCAATGGACTCAACGAATTACCGGTTACGTATCAAATTCCTCTTCATCTTGATTGGACCCAATTAAGTACCGGAAATGCGTTTCAAATTCCTCTTCATCTTGATTGGACCCAATTAAGTACCGGAAATGCGTTTCAAATTCCTCTTCATCTTGATTGGATCCAATTAAGTACCGGAAATGCGTTTCAAATTTCCCTTCAGCCTTATTTGCAAATTAGCTATCAGGCCAATCATGACCCCTAATCAAATCCTGGTCCACAGGTGGGGGCCCAAACCAAGGATTTCAACGCTGTTTCGCAGACGGACTTAACCAGAAGTTAACTTCCGTCTGTGACGCAGGCTAGCGACTACTCTGCTATAAATTCTCTCTCACTCGGACTTCATTTTGTCTTTATCGCGTACATTCTATTTGATTTAATAAGTTATATTTTTTTACTCTGTCTTATTGTCACTTTATTTCGTGGGCACAAAATACAACAAAACATCTAAATTTCGCAGGATTTTTCCTAATCGGGCAAACAATTTGCCTCAGAATAAGGCTACGGGTTATATTTACTTTTGTGCAATTTGGAACAGAATACTCCACCCTAAATCGTGTCGGCATTTTGCAGTCACCCGAAGAAATGTAGTCTTAGGCCTAGGCCAAACGTCGAAGTTTCCATGAGACGAATCAAACGTGGTGAGTTAAGTTCATGAAAAGTTCGACGTCTGGCTCAGTTTAATTTAATAAGTTCGTCTGAATGGGTTTGGATCGTCCAACACGTTCTATCCGTCTGCTTCAGATGGATAGAACGTCTGAAGATCGTCTCCGGAACAAACGTGGATCTTCACACGCGACGAAATAAACTAAGAAATTAAAACTTTTTATGATGTTTATTTAGCTTCGCTCGGGGAAAATTTTTTTATGGCCGGCTAAGATTGCTTTTTGGTCTGATTCAGTTGGTTGGTTCGACGAGTCCTAAGTTCGACATCTAACCCAACAGACGATCTCAACTTAATTTAGATCCAAATCAGAGCTTGAATCGTCTCAGGAAAGTTCGACGTTTAACCTAGGCCTTAGACTATTTTCACACTATACCGAATAGATTTTCAAGCCGACACAAAACGCTATCCTGTATAGTATGAACACCTACTCGATATGTGACTCTCCACTCAAGAGATCGGCCTCGCGCAGCTTCGCTCAGTTACAGAAATTACGCCGAAATCACCGTTCTTATGTGTGAACAGAAGCCCGTTTCCGGTATGGTTTTCGTGCCGGCGCAAAATCTGTGCAGTAGACTGTGAACATAGCCGGCTTGTACTACAAAGGTCAAAAGAGTGAATGACCATGTGTCACGCGATAATCGAATACATAGTGCTCTTCAAATACTTCCTTGGAAGACAGACAAGCAGAGTTTTAGTTTCCGCACCCTTTAATTTTCGAGAGTGCTGTTTTCGCGGGTCTTTTATTTGGCCAAATTTTCGAGGGCGCGGAAATCGTTGTATTAAGGTCCCACGAAAATTATATTAGTAACAATAAGGTAAAACATAACGTATTTATTAGCTGAATATGTCAATAAATAAGTATGTAGCAATTCTACTACAAAATACGTCGATAAGTAATAGAAACTTCTGCTTATTTCATTGTGTTGTGAAAATTTTATTTTTTAGTGAGGTAAGCTATTGTGTTTCAATATTTTGTTCAACTTTATTACCGATCACAACACTTCGACGGAAACAACCAAAAACGTTTTCCTTAAATAAAAAATAAAATCTATAAACTGCAATATATATTTGTACATAAATTCTATCCTTTTCTAACGAATCTATTTAGTGCCGATGTCATGGCAAACATTTTTTACATTGCTTGTTCGCCACTTCTCTGAGCTGCATCTATAGGGTCCTCCAAAAGCACAATGTTACTAATACGTATTTGTACTTGTGTAGACGACAAAATGTCCGTGGAATATTTTCTTGTTGAAAATCTAGCGTGTCGCGTTTTGAAAGAAGAAAATTTTCAAATGCCAAACTTGTTTGCGTGTAGTACTTGGCAAGTATTTTTTGTAACGGGGACGGAGAACAGGAAATTGTAAAATGGAAGCAAAACAAAAGTTACTAATATGGTTCAAATTAGGTTCTGTTGCTACTTTTCATTTTCCCGTTCCCGTTTCTCGTCCCACGTTCCCAGTACCCGTTTTAGCACCATCTATTTCCCGAAGACGCAAGCCTGTGACCAGGCTCCGCAATGGGGAAAGGGCGAAAAGTGGGGAACGGGAAAAATTATGTATTCCGCAGTTGATCCGCCTACATGTGCCTAAAAGCATCCCATGCATTCGCAACTTTTGAAACGAGAAGGAAACTGGAGGCGAAGTGCATCCCGCAATTGTTTCTGGGATCGTTACTGGGGACGCTGTTGGGGAGTTTAAGATACCACGACAGCGACGGCCAAGAAAACCTCGCTTAAAAAGTGAATTTCCCTTCTTTCAATCTCTATCGCGATTACTCCAACTCATTTACATTGTCAAATGCGAGCGAACTCTTTTTCTTCGAGTTCAGAAAGAGAAAGAAAATTTAGCCGTCGCTTGTTTACGTCCTCCATAAAACGTGAAATTAGCCATTTTCCCGTCGTAGTCGTGCATTGACGGCAAAGAAATATACAAAAAAGTGTGCAATGCACGTGCAGAGGTGTTGTTTTGCCTATTCAACCTATTGCTTTTTTTGACGTTCTCGCTGTCGTCGCCCTCGTGGCATCTTTAAGTCCCTATTGGCATTTTTTTTTTCCTTATCCCCAATAAAAGTCCCAGAACTCTTTTCGAAAGTTAACTTGCCCCAGTTTCCTTAGAGTTTCTACATTTGTCAAAGTAAAATTGTTCCCATAAATGCCCCAGATGAACTCAGTGATCTATCATGCTTTTGTTCTTTCTGAAATTCTTTCGTGGCCTGGTTAAATATGAACATGTCCTCCTATATCTTACGCAGGGCAAATCCTCGAGGGATTTCTGGCATGTACCAAGAATAGTAAGGATCCACGTTCTCTGGACATTTCGATAGAGGTCACTGACGCATCATCACAGAAAAAACTCTGTCAACAGTCCTATCTTCTGCAGTAATAAATTTAAACCAAAAAATCCTTTGTATGAATCTTTTCCTTTGTTTACCCATCTAACAATCAAATAATATCCGATGCCGTCATAAAGAAATCAGAACTTGTTTTCGACTGGGGCACCTGGTGGAAAATATGATTATGCTTTAGAGGCCTCGTTTCTCTTAATTGGATGCTCCGGACTTTTTGAGCCATTGAGGTCATACCAAGGACGCGTTGCTTCACGTTCTTATTTGTTATCATTGTGGTCAGCCAGAGACATTTTGGAATTCTGGTTTTCTGCGCCATTTTATCAGAATTTACGTCAGAACGTGCTGAAATTGAAACATCATGCTTTAAAGCTGTTCTAAATTCAGCGATGGTATTCCCAAGAAAACGTTTAAGATTATGATCTGTTGAAAGACTTCCCAAACAGGTGCGCATTAATCAGGGCTTCATGATTGCTTGCTGTCTGCTGAATTGCCCAGTCAACGGTGTAATATTCTTTTTCGTCTGTCTTTTAGTGACCGGTTATTTCTCCAAATCAGTTCGTTTCTAGAACCAATATCCTCAAATTTGTATTCATCATTTCCTTCCTCCTCACCACTATTTGCGTCTTTCTTCGGTTTTTCTTTAGTTTTGTTCGTAAAAGGACTTTCCTTTCCTTTTGACTCGGGCTCTGTCTCATCAATGTCTTTCCAGTTTGCCTTCACATTAATTTGTCCATTCCACTTGGCTTCCACGTGTAAAATTTTGTTATGTGGTGTTCGCCTGTGCGTAAGGTTTATTGACTTTGTTGTGGCCTTTTTAGGACTTTTTAAACTATGTTTCTTAGAATTAGTTTTATACTTGTTATCAAACGTGTCACTGGAAGGTGTGCTGTGTGTTTCGAATACCTCATCAATATAATTTGAAGGTTCTGAAGATTTGGCGGAGGACTTCAACGGTTTGAAATTAATTTTGTTACGAGCTTGACCTGTGTCATTCCCCGTGGTGACATTGGCAACGCTAGACGATGATTCCTGCTCTTGGAAAAGTGACGAATTACCTTCTCCAGCAATCACCGTTTCATTTACAAATGAGTTGTTTTGTGACGATTCGTTTTTGGTCTTCGGTATGACATCCTTCTTACCATTTTCGTCAGTTATTACGAAATGTACGAAGTTTCTCTTACTTGATTGAACGTCCGACATTGCGTTGTTTTTAAGCGACGATGCTCCGTGTTTACTCTTATTCTGTTCGTTGTGACCAAGGAGTGTTGTCACTTTCTTGTTGTTCAATCCCTGCTTTCTTTCTTTGTTGGCTGTTGGAGTAAGGGATGGCAGGTTGAGAGTTTTGTTTCCACCTTCGTGTTTCATACTAGGAGCAACCTTGTGCTTTGACGATCCTTTAGTTTCACTGCTTCCACTGGAGTTGACAGTTTTAGCGTCCGCTTGTAAAATAACATTTCCGTGTTTATTCCTGGTTTTTGTTGCAGTTTTGTTTATCTTTTTACTCCAGTTTTTGTACCTTGAACTATTCACTTTTTCTCGTTTAAAACCCGTTTCTCTGTCGGTTTTGGTCTTCGTCACAGCCAGATTTACGTCCAAGCTGTGAACTGCATTCAGTGGTTTCATATCGCTCAACCTTGTTCTGTTCATATCTTCAGCGATAATTTTATTTGCGATTTTCTTGACAATTTGTGGAGTCATGTCTTCGAGTATCTTTCTCAGCTCTTTATAGCTTGGAGATGGTGCGTGCTTAACTTCATTACTGCTGTGGTGTAAACCATGCGGCTGTTGCTGCCATTTTGAAAGAGTCTGCAGTATCTTTCTAAGCTTACCATAATCTTGCATTGTCATAGGTTTACTTTTATCATTGTCTTTTTGCTTAGGATGTAGTGGTTTCTTTGCTGTATCATTACTTGCTTTCTTGTCTTTTCTTTTTGTCTCTGTAGCCTTTTTCTTATATGACTCGTCTAACGTAGACGGCTTGTTGAAACGGGAAGGGTTTGGTTTGTTAAGATGCTTTTGATTTGTGTAAATGCTTGGCGCATTATTTTTAACAAAGGTGATCTTTTGTGCCCTTGCACCTGTATGGAGACACAAAAGTTTGGAGTAAACAAAAATGTGTAGAACTACTCCTCGGAGAAGATGTTCAGAAACCAATTTACAGCATAACCAGTAACATAAGAGTTCCTTTTCTTCAGGTGGACTTTATTAAGTTCTTCTCTTTATTGGTTTTTGTAGATTTGGAACTGGTATTACAGTGCGCACAGTCAAACCGGGACGCTTGGAAGAAGATTGTCCAATCACAACGTTTTTAGAAAACAAAAGATTCTCAAGTTTTTTTTTTTGCAAACGTACCAATAAAATTCAAGGTTCAGCTGTGCGACCGTTGGAAATTTTAAAGCCGTTTAAACTTACTTGACCTCTCAGAAAACAACCCTCAAATTTCTGAAAGTTACTAGTCCGTTTACCTAAAAGAATGAGTCTTTTGTTATCAGAAAACGTTGTGTTTGGACAATTTTCTTCCAAGCGTCCCGGTTGGGGTAAGAATGCAATTTGGGTGTTGTTTGCATCGGTTTGGTATAAATGAATGCGGGAAGGAAAAAGAGCTACAAACTGATCCTACACTCCACTTCGAGAACCCCTCTAATTAAACATTATTTTTTGCCTCTGGGGATTTTCAATGGGATTGTCTTGATAAAAATCCTTTTTAAGACTCGCGCTCAAAACTCAAGTGTTCCAACACTTACCATATTTTGTCCCGAATGGGATGGCTTGCCCGACACCTGTAAAAATGAATAAGAAAGTAGATGTGCTTTGACCAAAAAAGTCGCCACTTCATGCACGTATATGAGGTCGTATTAACTTTTGAATATCTACAAGTAATTCATTCGAACTTCACATTGGAGAATTTAAAAGCTTTGGGTAATAGTAATAAAAAAATATCCTTACACTATCATATTTTTGTGTCGTTCCCGCTCTTAACTAATGGGGATTGATACGTTTAGCTGACCCATCTGATAAAGCCTGTCTAGATAAAGTCTAGGAACAACGGGAAACATAACCGCGAAAGAGATTTGGAAAAGTGACCTTGGTGAAGCTATTTCATTCTTTATCCCTTGACATCCAGATATACCTCAATGTCGATTTTAAAAACCTAAATCTGCTCTACCTGGATATCCCGGCCTTTTAAATTTTTGATCCTTGGTGGTACTTCCTTTTGTCCTTTTCCTATTTCAGACCAAAATGAGATTCTCGCATCCCTATTTCAGGCCAGACCCAAAATTCGACGCCCGGCGTATTTCATACCAGACCGTTAGTGCAACGAGTTCCTTCTGTACCTGACGGTTTTTCTGTCGACATTTAATAAGGTCTTCAATTGTCCGACTTGCTTTACCCTATGTCGGTCCACATTAGTTTAAATCCGTGCAATATTTTTTTTACGGAAAAAAGGCGCCGCACACACGTGTAAAGCTTATGTAGAGGAGTGGTAGACATATAGGTTGAAAGAGATTGTTGACATAAACTGCTAAACGTCCCGTTTGGAGAATTTACTTTTTGACCAGTCCCTAAGATAATTATCAGTGACGGGTTAAACCCTCCTTCTTACCGGTATAGTATATTGAATTCATCAAAAATCCACCGCAAATTTCGTTGTAATCTCCTGCACATCGCATTGAACACTGCTCATCTCTGAGCCTGCCATATCGACTGTACGTCATACCGCAGAAGCACTGGGTGGAGGACTGGAGACCAGCCATTGAGAAGCCAGACTGGCCGCACTTTGTGACACAAGCTCCAACGGTCAGCGGCTTCACTGCAACTTCTGTCGGAAGATCACGTCCTTCAGAGTCTTGAAAACATCCCATAAATCTTGGAGGCCTTGAAACTGTATTAGAACAGAACAAAGTATTTTTTTCTCATGTTCTACAGCATTTTAATTGAATTTACTTTAGAATAGTTTATTTTCATAAGTAATTTTGCATCATTTGTTATTCTTGACATTCGTATCGCGTACCTACAGAGGGTCTTCCAATGACGTGTTGGAAAAGTTGCTTCAACATACCTTGACAGAAAGGAAACATGCATTTCTTTCACAAATATTCATCACAATCGTCTCTTACCGTTTTCAATATGTTAAGCTTTATTTTCTATCTCATTCAGGCGTTTTCAATATTTTATATCTATATTTGAGTGATGTAAGGCTGAGAAAATAGAAAATACTCCTGGCGCCCCGCTATTTTATTTTCTACATGTATGAGGCTTCTTTTACAACAGAACCTCTGTACAAGAGAGTAGTGGCCATTGTAGGAAGGGGGTAGGGGCTAGGGTGTAATGGGATACCAGTTTTGCGGGGGTGTGGTGATTTCTTTGCTTTATTATTATTCGCCTTTTTGTTTTTCCTTGTATTCTCTGTAGCCTAGAAAATGAAAAAAGGGGACCGTGAAAACAGAGAATGCATAATTAAGTTATGGATAGGCCTAGCGTTTCAGTCAGGTTTTGTCTCATTTTTCATTTTTCCGAGCTTTTCCCCGTGCTCATCCTTTTAAGCAATATCCGTCTATAACTGCGATCATCTTGTATATATTTAACACAACATCTCTAGAGCCTAATTAAACAAGACTTCCAGAAGAAGGTAAATTACTCGGGCGGCTGGGTTTGACTGGGCTTGTCTGTCTGTACGCAACTCAACACTCAACGCAATATCTACTTTTGATAACGAAACTCTACTCACGCATCAGTTTAGCTTTCTCTTGAGGTGACGGCCTTGGGGCGGGTCTCCTTTGATAACTAGGTGGGTAGCCTTGTAAGGAAAATTCAGCCAATAATTACAAAATGGATGCATTAACAGACAAGACTTAATGAGCAAATTCCTGTCCATGTTTTCTCTTTTACACTATGTCTTCTCGCTTCTTTGCACAACAAAAAATAAGAGTAATATGTTCAAAAATAAAGAGAAATTTTACTTAAAACCGTACGCAGAATATTTGATTCCCAAATTTTTTTATTATTATTATTATTTGAATGTCTTTTTGTTATTCATTTCTCTTCAATTATCATCTCTAGCTTTGTTCATAACAGGATGCAGGGAAAAAAAAGCTTAAATGAAAAGATATTTAAGTTATTCCTCACCGTTATAGAGCCTGTTAGTGACGCCATTTTGATAGTTATAATTTTTATTGTGGTAGATGTTGTAGTTGTAATTATAAGGCCAGCGGTAATCTTGCCTCTGATATGCGCTGCCATATGACGCAGTAGCCATGGGATAAGACGCTAAAGGAAAAGCACAGGTATTAGGCGAATATTTTGAGACGACGAAGGAGGTCATGGGCAATAAGTGATTAAAGGTTTTGTAAATTTAAGTCAAAATCATCCAATGAATGAAACTTTAAATTATTATGGTATATAATTAAGGGCTATTCAACTAGCGCGCGTTTGAATACGAGGTGGTAAATGCGCCGAGTTGTCTATAACTTCTATTAGTATATACTAAAACAGTGGATAGTGTTTTTCGCGCGCTCTGATTGGCTACTCAATCAGTGTATATCCTGCACTATTCACTGATTCACCTCCACTTCCTTCGAGCGAGCGACGCCAAACTCGCGTAGGTTGCGAGCAAAATGCTTTCCCGGTTTGCTGCCGTAACAAACTAAGAAATTTCACAACTAATCAAGCAAGCTATTTCCGAAATACATGAAGAAGGTGACGAAGTTCAGTTTGGAAGTTTCAACAGGTAAAACTTTGTCTTTTTGACTTGAATAGTTATCGATAAAACCGGTGAAAAAGTTTTTTGTTTACAAATGCAAATTAAGCTTAAGTCTTGCGTTACTNTTATTGTACATTGTACTCACTATCTATCTTCTCATTGGCTAGGAGCCTACACTTAATTTTGGAAATAAGCGCAACCTACAGATTAGTTAGTTATCTGCTAGCAGATAACTGACTAATCTATAGAATGCAGGCGCAATGCGTGATTTCCGAGAGCACTTCAAATCGGTTCCGTGCAACGGTGTATTTCTCGTTGTTTATTTCAAAACAATGTGTAATAAAACAAACATTAGATTCAGTTTTTGTGATATCCGAATAATCACGGTCTCGGTAAGTGTTATCAACCTCGGCCTTCGGCTCGGCTGAAAACACTTACCTCGACCTTGATTATTCCGGATATCTCAATTGTTTATAAGCAACCGCTTATCCAATAAGGAAGCATGGAATAATTATTTTATTAAAGTTCGCTTTTTTATAAACAGAACCTAAGAGAATTTACCGCTCACATGCGCCACCAACCTGCAAATCGATAATTATATCCTGAGATCGGTTGTTGCTGTCGACCATTGTAGTTGACTGAATCTGCGTGAATTATGAAACTTTAATATACTGCAAAATTACGAAAATAAGCCCCAGGGCTTATATTTTTGAAAGGCCCGTTTTGAGGGGCTTATATTTGGAGGGGCTTATCCACACAGCAGAGGAGACGAGAGAGGATTTCTTCTCCAGAGTTACTTAGATAAAGTAAAAAGTGATCCTGGTTTTTTTAATGAGAGATGAAAACGTACAAAAATAAAAGTTATAAAACGTTTGGAGAAGATGCTTTTAAAAGGTGACGATGGAGATCTGGAGATCTTATGGGAGACAAAGTGACTCTTTAGTCATCGGTGGCTCCATGTTCCCAGAAAAGAAACACATTTCAAAATACAGACTGAATCGCTTTTTGCAGAGTGAAAATCAAATCAACCGCATCTGTAATGAGAAAAATTTCGGGTAAAAAGCAATTCAGAATGCAAATCTTTGTAAGAACCAGTGTCACCCTCCGGAGTCTTTTACACTTGACGCGACGTACTGAACTCAGCGCTAACGTAGGTGGATCGTTAGGATCAGTGGCTTAGCACAACACTATAACAAAGGACAAAATATCTTAGCGGAACCGCTGGAAAAATTGAATTTCTTTTGTAACCTTAAGATGAAGGAAACATAAGTGACAGGCAGGGTTTTCTTAACACTGAAGAAGGGTTACACATCCTAAACGTCTCTTTGTTAAAAAACATTGGACACTTTTTGATATTTTAATGAATATCATTCCATCAGCTATTTAAAAAGCAGGTAATTATTATACGAAAAATGAAAGTCAGGCTCGTTAAAAGAAGTGGAGGTTGTTCAGCCGAAAAGCCTCTCATCCAGATCTGGCCGAGTCTTACATAAGGCATTTTCTTCTCCAATCATCGAGCGCTTGTCAGTAATAACAACAGAAATGGGACAAAAAATTCGTACTTACATGGCTTTGCTCCATAAAATTGTTGATACCTCTGGTATATGCTAGGTGAGCTGAAAGGTTTACCTGAAATATATGTATAAGCAACAATCAGCAAGGCGAAAGTGGATTTTGCTTTCTGGACATTACAAATCAGTTAAAGATAGCAATTCCAACACAAGATCTTTTTTCCTTTCTTTGCGAATAACTGATTGAAAAGCTGACTGCAGTGATGGATTCAGGGGAGGGGCTCGGCCAGTCCAGGCTCCCATCTTATTCTTACGCCAAACGGAGGCTCACATGAATAACAAAAGTTATTTTTGAGGCCACGCCCCATTCTCTTATCTTAGTAGGATCTGGCTTAGAGAGATCCTCACTTAATTGAAGATGTGAATCCGACAAGCGTTTTGCGCTCAGCATTCCTAAAAATAAACACCGGTGCCTGAAATTTTGGGCACGGCACCCCTAATTTATATCGTGTAAATATAATTACATTGGGCACCGCTTTTGTGTTAACCGGGTTGTATGCAACCTAGCCTGAGATTGATAACTTGGAAATTGAGCTGTCTGTTGTTTTCGAAATGGTGCAACGTTATTCCCTGTAGAAACAATTTAACTTGAATTAGTTTTATTATTTGCTTAACATCGGAATTTTTGAAATGATTTTTCCCGCCGTATTTAATCAATTGAAAAATGGTCTGCGACAGTCTGGATCACGTTTCGAATCGCCACTTCTGCGCGGAAAGGAAATGCGCCTCACCGCGTAGTTGGACGGTCTCTGACGACGAGAAAAGGAGTGATGGCAACAAAACAACTTGATCGTTATTCGCTACAAAATTGAAATCTGATTACTAATATATTTTTTCTGTCGTACTACAAGATATATAATGCAAGACGCACTGAATATACTCGTGCAATTAAAGGGTATAAAAATTCTATCATTCCTACTACCTTTCGACTGATAACCTTGGTACCGACCACGGTTGCGTACTGATACCGGCATGTATCTTGAAGGGTTTTTGGATCGAGCTAACAAAAGAAAAACAAATCAGAGACCAGATTCAATACTTGAATTATCTATGAAAAGTGAGCATGGTACTCTATGGTATAACACATGACTTGGCATTCGTTTTAGTTCGTAGCTAGACAGGTCATTATTAAGCCGAGTCATGAAGTTCATAGAATCTAACAAGCGACGGTTACTCGCCACTTAAGAAACAGGAAGAAAACTGGGCCAAGTTAGCTTTCGCGAAGACTTCTTGGACTGTTGGAAGGGACAGGAAAAAATTGACCAATAGCTGACCGGTGCAGTAACTATCCCAGAAACAACTGCGGGACGTATCACGACTCCAGGCCCCTTCTTGTTTCTAAAGAGGTGAATTCGTAAGTAGTATTAAAGAAAACAAATGTTACTACCGTGCGTTAGCAGTTCCCACGGTATTGGATGGTTTGAAGGGATGAAATGCTTCTGCATCCCTGTTGAACAAAAGAAAAACCAAGAATAAGAACCATTGAGTGAAATATGTGTGATAAATTTTAGTCCCAAAAGTATAACACCGTCCTACCTGGTTTAGGAGGAACTTCACCGAAGGCTGAATCCACAATGCCTGAAAGTTGGATAAGGTATATCAATATTCAAGCTTGTAGCTGTGAGAAATTCTAGGAGCTTATTGTCTAACTGGACCGCGGTTATGGCCTACAACACACGGTGAATTTTATAAGTGCAGTGAAACAAGTGGAAGCCGGTTAATACGGGCACCAAGGGGACATGATCAGAAAAAAACGTCGCTGATACATGTTTTATCGATACAAAGACTAAAGCAGACATTTTAACGAGAAAACGTTGTATAATTTCTTAACTGTAACTGAAACAAGTTCATCCTAAAGAAATCTTTTGATCATGTGTCGTATTATAGTCTCCTCGTTGGTAAGACACTCAGTTATGGACAGTGCACAGAAAAGAACCATCCGTAAAGCGGGGTTAACGATATATGAAAGTTTGTGACACGGGAGATGGAAAAGTGTCCGTTGTCCCCATTAACCGGTGTCCTCTTTTTTTTTTTTTTTTTTTTTTTTTTTTNAAAAGGGACGCGTATATCTTCAAGGAAACGGGATGATTTTGTAGGTTTCCGAAGCATCAGAAGCTCGAAGAGTAGGCGATGGCTGGTGAAAAGTGGCAAACATGTTGGCCCAAACTTCACACTGAAACCAAATACGAAAGCCAGATCACTACAATTCTGTATTGGATCAAATTAGTTCCGTCGCTTTGGAGTGAATTGTTAGAGGTACGTTGGCAGAGCTTAGCAAAAATCTCATGCAAAATTAGAAGCTGTGGTGTGTGAATCTTATCTTATGGCTTGCTATTTGCCTGGTCTCTTTTAGGGCATTATCTCAGGGAGCTCTTGGTAAAAAAGTGGTATAAAGCTTACATTTTACTAGTTTAAACTTTTAAGGCAATGTTTTTGTCAGGACTGAACACGGCAAGCTTCTGTTTCGAATAATTGAATTCGAGTCTGGATCAGTTTAAGAAGACCATCATTTTATTTATTTATGTATTCTTCAACTTTAAAATATTATGGAACATAAAGTTAAAACTCTTAACAGCAAAAGGTAAGAAATACGAAATTACTCGCTGAAATGATATGTGGCCGGCTTACCGAGTCTACCGAGTAACAAGTTGAAATTTTGAGCGTACTCCTCTCGATCACTCCAGCATTTATACTAAAAAAATAGTTCTAATTGATGTCCTTCATTGATAAAGACCAGAGAATAACGTCCTGATAAACAAAAACCAAACATGACTTCATCGAAACCTCAGTCACCTCTTCTTTCCTGTCTTCCTTTTTTCCATCTCGACTTGAACTGTTTTGTTCAACGGCAGACGTCTCTTGGGTTAACAGTTGCAAGTAGGCCATATATCTGTCGCTTATTTCTTTTTTTCTTGCCACCAAGATTTGTTTATATTTCTGTTTCACCGAACTGCAGTGAGCTGGCTTTCGTACTCGGTTTCAGTGTGAAGTTTGGGTCAACATGTTTGCCTCCTTTCTCCAGCCATCGTCCACTTGTCGAGCTTCTGATGCTTCGGAAACCTACAAAATCATCCTGTTTCCTTGAAGATATACGCGTCCCTTTTGTTGCAAACAGCAAATCGCTACTAAACATTAAAAGAAGAAGACATCTCACGTAATTGTATTTAAAACAAAGTCCGTACAAAGTTATTTTAGGTGGAATCCGTACTAAACACTCTGCGAGTTCACTGAAAGTCTTCATTTGCAGTTTTTGTTTATCCTCCAACGCCTCGCTTTCATGACTAGGCACCAGTTTTTTCCAGCGTGTCCGCCATTTGTGAATAAGGTGTATAAACTGTCCATTATATTCGGGTGTCCGTAGAGCGATGTTCGACTGTATCACCTCTGTGAATGATTCAGTATGATCGACGCTCGAGTATTTTTAATTAACTACACATATTTGTCTTTTTCTTTCCTGTAAAAGCTTTGTTTCTCCATTCCTCTTACCTCACTTGAATGAAGGCATGAATCTGAAGAACAATCTGAAGGCCATACCTCCTCGTGACGAAGGAAATAAAAACTTCTTACACTTGAAAATTGATTCGACTGATTATAACGTGCCTTAAGTGATTCTTATACCTTAAATTATTTTATATTTTATCTTTTGCATTTTTTTTTCTATAAATTTTGAATACAAAGGCTTTTACGACTTTTTATTGTAGTTTTTAATTGTAGTTTTTTAATCCTTCCCGTATATAGGCCGTTATAGGAAGTACCCCCCGGGCCTTAGCTTTACAGTGCCGTGATAATTCTTACCTGTCCAGTACTGAGAAAACGTCATAAAACCGCCGCAAACCTCATACGAATTATCATAGCAAGGCATATCGCACTCTTTCTCCGTAACTTGATAAGATTTGCTGTATGAATTGCCACAAAAGCACAGGTCCGAGTTACGTAAAGCTGCTATACTAAAGCCCTGTGACTTGCAAGTGTCCACGCATGCTCCGATGGTAGCTGGGCGAGTGGGGATATACACCTGAAGATGTCTGGGTAAGATGTCGCGGAAACAGCCCAGGTAGGCGGGCTCATCTGGAACAGTAAACAGTAACCAGGAGTGAATAATGGAACAGAGAGTGAATCTTAGGGCATTGGTCTGTATATGTGAATTTCACTTAAGTTATTTTTAGAGGTTGTAAATAAGTTGGTCGTAAATACATTTTAATCGATTGTCCAAGGGCAACTGCCTCAAAGCAAACAAGCATGTAATGATGAATGTTGAATTCTCTGTTAGGAACACCGACTAAATGTTTAAGGGTCTCTCCAAAAACAAACTTCACATTAATTTCAAGCCTTTAATTGAAAATTCAAAAAAATGGCGAAATTCAGATATCCCGAGGGCTAGACCGGGCATTATTGTTTCTTGTAGTAAAGTAATGGGATAACTTGGTTTCCTTCAAGTTGTTACTGTACGCGTGTTGCACCTTTGACCTGAACGCAACTTTTAACTGGCCTTTTCTACACTACAGACAAACTAAGACACGAGTTAGGTTATGTGTCTCGTAGTTCGCATAGTTTGAAGGCAGACACTAGACATTATGCTTTTGGTCAAACTAGTCCATTATGCGTCTTTCAAGAAGGACTACCAAGAAGAGATCGACTTGACGCATAATACGTCCGTGGGTTACATTTAATCGAACTTTTTCTGTAATTTGTCAGTTCAAAGATGCCTAAAAAACGTGCAGTCAAGCTATTTCGGCTCGCGTCATTCTGAATGTACAGTTATGTTTCAAAGTTTTTTTTTAAAGATATACAAATTTTTGATTGACTTACCACATATTCTTGACTTATTGAATGATCTTATCTGATCTAAGGTGTGCAGTATTTCATCTCCGTTCTCGTACAAAATCACAAATCGACCATTCTTGATATCTCGTATGTACCCAATTTCAAACGCGCGTGATCTGGGTCGATTGACAAGAACTTGGCTTCCCCATGGCAATTCGTTATGTTCTGGAATTCTGTCCACCACTACATCTATGTTATCCCGTGGATTATAAGCCATCCTTACACCATTATCAAATAACACGTTTACTCTATTGGTTATTGAATCAATTTCGCCTTTATAGTAGTTCCCATTCTTCCAGCGACTGACTACTCTGGCAGCGGGTTCCAGGCACTCTGAGAGGGAATAATAATAAAAGTCGCCATATCGATTACACAACATTACTAAGAACTGAATCATTGGATAGTGCAATTATAGAGCTCTGATTGGCTTAGCCGTATATGAGCCATTACATCATGCTCTCCAAATAAGGTAACTATACGCGTCTGCTCAAAATTCAAAACAAGCTGAAAATCGGTTGTTTTTACAAATAAAGTCAGGAAGAGTTCTCGATGTTTTGAGGGCGTTTTTAATAAATCAATTATTCCACTCGCGCTTGTTGGATATCAGATGATTATAGCCAACTCATATCCAACGCGCATTCGTGGAATAATTGTTAATTAACAGGGATCAATAACACGGAGCCTAGCGTGTCTATCTTATACTAAGTATGTATCTTGGAGTGTCTGTACACCAGCCTACTTTCAGAAACGTTTTGGGCTATTTGTTTCCATTAGGGGTCCATTATTAGGAGCGTCCGTCGACTACTTACCACTACAGTGCCAGAGTGCGTTTCTATCTTTAGATTTCTTTCAGAGCAAAATTCGCTGCATTCGCGAACGTTCGGATAACCCACTCTGTGCTGATATTGGGGAAAGTTGTTTCTTTCCTTACTTCAATTGTTCTTCAACATTAACCCTTCAACCTTCAACCTTTGAATGGAAATGTATGAAATGACATTCATTTCATATATTTCCATTCATGTCATTTCCACCATCGGGAATATTACCAACTCACACAATGGCCCGCTCTTCAGTTAGCTTGATTAGCTTAATGGATAGAGAGTTGCGTCGGGTCATCGCAAAAGTCAGGGTTTAATTACTGGTTACGCCTGAATTTTTTCAGGTTCTTTTTCAACTGCTTAGGTTTTATATTCACCGGCGAGGACTATTTCCAACCATTGCCTGACATTTCGCAGATCTTTTCCATCAGTGCTGGAAATTGTACTCTGCTGGGATTGGTTCAGAGCAGTCAGGAAAACCGGCTTGAAAAATGAATCTGTAAATAGCCTTAAAATCTGGAAAGCCCCAAAGTGGATAATTCAATTGGTTTCCCAAATGCTAAGCCGGTGCTAGATTTTGAACCGGGCCAGGTGTCATATGAGCGGCCCCCAATAGCCTCATAACGCATGTGTCACAGTTTTTAAATTTTAACGCCAGGTTTTTTAGATTACTCTTTCGCTCCAACAGTAGCGAATGAAATCGGTGAAAAGGGTTACACTGGGAACGTCGGAAGTAAGGATCAGCGAGCTTCCAACGAATTTGACGGACCATTGTAAACAATGCCAATTCGTGGAGAAAATATAAATTAAATAAAATTTAAGTGTAAGGTGCAGTGACAATTACTGGAAACCGATGGACACTCCAATGTTATGGGCTCTTGTTGCTGTAGAAGGAGCAACAGAAAATTGACATGTCTGAAATGACTGGGTTGCTGAAAACCGCCATGACAGGAACAAAAAACATATCGCAGTTGAAAGCTCAATGAAAATGGGCAGTCTGCAAACCTGGCAGTAACTGCTTCTTCCCGTCTTGAAAAAAAAAAAAGAAAAGTAAAGTGGAACCATAATCCAATATGGAATGAATAAACGAGCGACAAATCACTTGAGAGCTTTTGGACTTCATCGGCGTAGTTTTTTTTTTTTTTTTTAGTGTGGGGTTCAGCGGTTGCCTCTTCCGATTTAGGGAATGAATAAACGGGCGACAAATCCCTTGAGGGTTTTTGGATTTCTTCGGGTTGTTTTTTTTTTTTTTTTTTCATTTGGAATTCTCTTCACTGGACAGCCAAAACCATGACGATCGAAATATCACTTTTATGGCGTCTTTCAAAATGTAGCTGCGTACAAGAAAGCGTGATTTGTTTACAGTCTAAGAAATTAAGGCAAAATAAAGCAAATTTGATTTATATATTCTGTTAACCGTAGAAAGTCTTACTGTCTTTCTTTCACAATGTCTTTATTTGAGGTGATAATTTTTAAATTGTTCGTTAAATTTGTTTGAGAGTGTTTCACGCTGTGGTACTGATTCAGAACAACCACAGTAAATCCATCAATTACAAAAGCAAACAAATGCTGATAGACCGCCGATCATAAAAGGTTAACAAAAAGCTCTGTCAGCAATCCAAACATAATTATGTGACAAGTTTCGGTGGTTCCTAATAGGCCAGCGTTGTGGCTTAGTTAACTGAAACCATACAACGGTTCTATCTAAATGACCCGCTTGCGATCGGCGACTTTTCAAGACACTCGGATTTCAAGTACATCAGTTTAGTCAACTGATCACTGGGCAGTAAAAATAGAAGATCAATCAAAACCTAAGATTGGCAACACTAGACCTAGATGGTACTTCAGAATGTCAGAAACTAAATATATTTTTTCCCGTTATTTTCAAATGTTTTAGTTTGATTTGTTACCTACCACTTCACAAAATTATTTATTCGTTATCAAAACAATCCTTAACTAGAAGTTTTTAAAATCTTTTGTTATCTTCGAGGAAAAAGAAATAATCTGAGAGGCGTTTTAGGATCTATATATAAGACTTACCGGCCTGTGCACCTCCGGAATAGAAAGTCAAAACCACCAGAAAAGCCAAGGTGGATCTCATAGCATTCTCCAACACAAAAAACTATACGTTAATTAACTCAAAATCTAAGTCCGCTTTGTTAAAGGAAGTGGTCCTCCTTAGCAGGAAAACGGACAACGCCAGAAACCTTCGTGCCTCCAAAACTTTGTCGCTTTTCTTCTCTGATAACTAAATATAAAGTTGTTCACATATCGACGATACATAGCAAATTGTTATTGTTCTCTGGTTGTTATAGCTGGCCACATCACTGACTTGTTCCCCGCAGCAGTTTGGATAAGTTGAATTTTACCGAACAAGTTTTGAACCATATATTCAGTTAAGGCGGGAAACCACTTTTCAATGATAATCGTAAGTTGTCTTTTTGTTCTGCAAACGCTGTAACTAATTCAAAGATTTGCGATTCTTTGGTGTGGCTAATGATTTATGGATGACTGTTTTTGCAAGGCGCTGTGTTGTACGGGTAGTCGGCTCTTTTCATAACAGAACAAATCAGACCTAGCAAGTGTTTTATTATCTTAAATACAACCACCAGCAATTTGAACTTGGTTTATGATGGGCAAAAATAAAAAACTGTGATCTCTACAGGCACAGCGACTTATAGGATTGCTACCAGTATTTTCGCTTTGTCAGTCGACTTTCTGATCTTCACGTTAAATCCCATTGAGATTAATAAAAAAAACAGTGAAATAATTAAGAGATTTGAAGCGGTGAAACACCAGATCAGCAACTAATAGCATTACTAAAAGACAATAAAGCCAAACTTTCTATTGAGAGCGCAGCTATTGCATAAAGTTAACGTATAGCCACTCTCGATTTGAAGTCTAAAGTCACGTGGACTCATGGCACGTGATATGATCTAATTCATGAAAACTGTTGAAAATAATTATATCCTTTTTAACCATTCTAAAATGGAATGAATGGAAATGGGTTCCAATCCCTTTGAAGCCCCAAAATTTTTAGACAGCTCACAGTCCCCTATTTCTCCGTACGATCGCGTCGAGAACGAGTCTGGCTTGAAGATGACTAGGGAGCTTTAGCATCTACGACGGCAACGGCAGCGAAAACGTCAGTTTTAAAATGAATCCCCGCTTTTTCAATCTTTGTCGCGATAATTTCAATTTGCTGAAAATGGCAAGTGTAGGCAAATTTCCTGGAATTGATTTCTTGAGGACCACACTCAAGTTTAGAGAGAGAAAGAGAGATTCGTGGTCGCCTGTTTACGTCCTCCATAAAACTTGCAATTAGGCAATTTCACGTCGTAGTCGTGCAAGGACGGTAAAGAAATGTACAAAAAAGCGTGATGCACGTGCAAAATTGTTGTTTTGCGTAATAAACCTATTGCTGTTTTGACGTCCTCGTTGCCGTTGCCGTCGTCGTTGCTAAAGCTCCCTGATGTCTCTGCTTTATAGGGGGCGATGCACGGTAGACGGTCTTACGGAATTATTCGGGACTGTGAACAGTCTAGAAAATTTTTCTCCTGGTTAATTCGTATTGCTTATATTGTTACATATTTCAACGGCGACGATCATATCTTAGTAACACAACGTGTCGTTCCTTGTCATCGGCCTCCCCGATAAGAGGCGATCCCAGGCTGCTAAAGGTGAGGATATACTTCCCAATGGTTCCTTTTTCGGTAAAATAATCCTGATTTGGAATTTCCCAAAGACAAAACCGCACCCTATGAACATCATTTTTCGATGTTAAAGGTTTGAAGCCTCCTATTCACCAGTTTTTTTTTTAAACTTGAGACATCATGAAAGCTCTTTGCAAGAAATATCAAAGAAAATAGCAACCATCGAAAATAGCGAAATTGCTGGGTGGCCAAAATGAGAATATCCCTTAAACTATTATGGTTAGTGCCCTTGAAATATTCAGAGTTTTTGTTTTAATACCTCACCTCTAAATGGTAATCATAAAGAGGTTCGAATGGCGTATTTCAGTTAAAAAATCAACTTGTCACTATCAAGTATCAAGAGATTTGGAAATGCGGTAGGCAGCCCTACATTGCATTCAAGTGGACAGTATGTTTTCTGACAGTCTGCAGAAATAGTAGCCAATTGACCGATTGGACAGTTGACATCCGAACCAAGATCAGAGGCCAAGTGCTTGTCTTAGGCGGGTAAATCATCAATAATGTTGTACATTTCCTAAAAGGTTAGACAGTTCAAATAGTTTGGTTAAAAAGTAAATAAAACAAAGAGCACAAAATCCAAAATAAGAGCGAAGAACTAACAGACGTCGACTCCGACCCGGAGTTAGTGTTCAACTGACACCCATTGGTTACGTTTAAAAAATANTGTCGTTCCTTGTCATCGGCCTCCCCGATAAGAGGCGATCCCAGGCTGCTAAAGGTGAGGATATACTTCCCAATGGTTCCTTTTTCGGTAAAATAATCCTGATTTGGAATTTCCCAAAGACAAAACCGCACCCTATGAACATCATTTTTCGATGTTAAAGGTTTGAAGCCTCCTATTCACCAGT